CTCCCCATAATGCAGCTTTCAATACCCAGTACGTTTGGGCTTAGTCATATACTGGTCCTTTTTGACTCATATCGGGCAGCAATAGAACTTGTATTGATATTAACTTTCAGTCATCAGTGGTTCACCAGATTCAAAATAAAACAGCCTGATTTTGGCAGATCTTTGAGGTTAAGCAGGGCAGGGACTGGTTAGTACTACGATGGCAGACCTCTGAGACATCTTTGCATCTGTGGCTGTAAAGTGCCAAATTGTCGCTGTATCCTCAAGCAAGACATTTCATTGACATTGGCTCGTAAACTGTGGGCTCGGGTCCACAGACGGCTCAACTCACATTTCAATGTGGCCCCCGAACCCTTTTAAGCCAGTGGTTTGTTGCTTACTTACATTTTTACAGGATATTTCAAAATTATGTTTAATAGTAACGTCATGGCTTGCTACAATATGAGGAAATGCCTTGGTCAAAAAGCAAGCCATAAATGACACAAGTAAATAAGTAAGTAATCTTCATTTATATACCGCAATTTCACAGACCAGAGTCACAAAGCGGTTTACAATTGTGGGCATTTGACTTCCACTCCACACAGGGAGCCAGGTATATACAATATAATATAGCATACAATCGCATTAGACAAACCCTAAAAGCACATATTCAGGAATCAGTCAGATGTATGTTCTTACGACAGGCCTTGAAACCCCTGAAATATATTTTTTTAAAGCTGATGTAAATCCGTCACAATACAGAGGAGACTTCCACAACAAAGTGCACGTTGAAATCCTAGAGCCGTGTGATATAGATATTTCACACGTCCTCTTCTGTACAGTACATCCTTCATGGAACACCTTTTTCCTTCTGTTTTCCCTCCTGGCTTTTTTCCATCCTATTTTCATCTCTCCATCTTCGGCTCATCCTTTCACCTGCCACCCTCTTATCTTTCTCTCCTCTGTGCTCTCTCCCCCATCACACATTTATTACAGGCCTGCAGCAGCACATGGGACCCCCAATCCAGACTCGCTTGTTAAAGGGTCTGAGGGAACACAGGGCGACTTGACATCACCTCCCTCTGGAGCAATGAGGGGCTGTTCTCACAAAGTAGCAGCTATTTGTCACAATGGCTCCGCTGTAGGATAAGTACAGGTAATGGATCAGGACACTGCTTCGTCTGGCGTCTGGGATTTGAAAAAGAATGGTGTTATGTGCTGCTAGTTCAGAAGGGCAACTATACAGTATACTGTAGTATGTGGCTCAACAGCAGTGGTACAAGGTTCAGCAATTGACTAATAAAGCCTGCTCTATAGAAAAAAAAACTATTTCAAAAGGTTCATTCAGTGAGATTGGAGTATTGAAATGAGCAGAACTAGTGCTGGATTTGACATGTATCTTTAAATTTAAGGTGAAAAGAGGCTAATATCACCATCACCAGGACCATCAGGCTAAGAGACAGTTTTTATCACAGAGCAACTGTTAGAGCATGCTCTAACAGTGTGAGAGTTCAATAATATGATGTTAGACTTTGATGTAATAAAAATTGAATTAACGTATATACTAGCAATCACAGCTTTGTACAGTATCACAAATATGCATATATAGGTGTTGTAAATAATATCCTATACTTGCGCTTTTGCACTTCTAGTTAGACGCTAACCTGCAGTTTTGTTGCATTGTTCAGACATTGTAATGACAATAAACTTGAATCCAATCCAATCTAGTTTTACAAAGAAAACCTTTCCATCAGTCCTCAATTTTTTTTTGTATCTACATTCAATGCACAGTGGCTGGAGTACCTCATTTTCATACAACAGATTTGATTATACAGTCTAATCCAAATAACTACCCCCAGCTCACAATTTGGTTCTATCAATAGTTTCTACATGTAGCTGTTTGGCCTTTGTCACATTTTTGGATCAGATTTTTCAGACAGAAAAAGGAATCAAGTGAAATCCCCCTCACTTTGTCGATTGGCTCTCAACCAAAACCATCAAAAAGTGAATCATAGTTTTAAAAATATAGAATGTTTTATAATACAACACAATGTGGTCTAATTTTCCTAAAATGTTTCTTTTACACAACTCTTTCGGTTGGGACAGTTGGAGTTGTGTTATACTGTATACCCTACCCCAACTTTAAGGTTTCTACCAACTATCATTTTCATTTGCAATCTTCCTCAGATGAAAATCAAGGTTAGAGTCATAAAGACGCTTCCCAAAATGACCTTGTTGATTCATGAATGAAAAACATAAAAACTATATTGCATGAAGAAATATCTGATCCGCTTGTGAGGAAGGTTACTGAAGATATTACCCTAATTTTTCCATAGAATCTGACCTGTATACGAGAGGTGAGGCGGAAAATTTACAAGGCTGCAGGCACAAAATGTGACTAAGACGGTCACAGATCCAATCCACTTTATTGATATAGCTTATAAATAGACAGTTCCCAAAGTGCTGCGCAGAAACAAGGGTGCTCAAGGGTCTGTTGGTCTGTCTGGGTCTAACTGAAAAGGACAGTGGTGATCCAGCACACTCAACATTCAACAAAATGTCTGGAATTTTTTCATCATTGCATTTCTTGTGTTTAAAAACTGTCCCCCGAGATAACTCCTGTTGTGATTTAGGGCTATACAAGAATACATTGAATTGAATTGAATACAATGTCACACTAGTCTGTCTCGTGCATATTTGATTCGGCTGTATATAGGTGTATCATTTGTCCTATAGCCCCTGTATTCCGTGGTGAAGTGTATAGGCTCAGTCTGTGAGAGGGTGCATTAAAACTACGTCGAGTTTGCTGCATGTTTTACAACAGGTGGTGGTGGCATTGTAGAAGTGCTGCTCACAGAACACAGCTCTGTCGTGACTCAGAGTGTGAGTGCTGAAAAAGAAGGTCAGAAAGAGGTTGAGTGACAAAGCAACACACACACATTAATATGGGTGTTTAACATCACAACCCGGCCTATACATGGTCATTTTAGCATTTTGCATTACCAATTATTATGCTATTCCATGGTTGTGTATATATTTGTTCTAATTAATGCATTTGTTAAAAGTTCTGTATGAAATATGAATATTATGGATTTTCTTGTATGACCACGTGTTGATAGTGTGGATAATATTGTAGGAGTCACTCTGTTTTTTGATTGGTCCAAACTGTTATCTCCCTTTTACCGTACATATTTGGTGGGAAAATACCATTGTGTTCATGCTCATTGTTCATTCATTACTCCTCTTCATACAACCAAATATAATCACAGATAATTATTGGTCTTTCTAATTCATCAGAAGAGGAGCAATAACATATTTGACTGAGCAAGAACATGTTTTTACAATTATAATAGAGTATTTCCAAGTATTTGAACATGATGGATACCGTCATGCAAATAAAGCATGTGGTGTGGACAGTATTATGGTAGCTGTTTTGTGGCCTACACAAAGAGCAAACAAAAATCAGAAAACAAGCCCCTTTTATTTAAACAACCTATTTTGTTTTATTCTGATGCAAGCCCCTTTTACATGTGCAAAAACACCTGTTGTCTGTACCCCTGCTATGACCTTTTTGTGATGGTCATTCTTTGTGTAGTGGATTATGTAATAGAGTAGTGTCTCACAAACAGCATGAGAGCCTTTGGATGTAGCAGTGTTACTATGCTCTGCTGTGTCTCAAGACTGCTGCTGCTCCCCCTGGTGGCCAGTCAAGTGGAACTGCACCTCTGCATTTATAACAACTGCAAAACTGACTCTCCTCAATGTCATGTTGATAACAGCTTCTGACATAAGGTCCTCATTTAAAAAAGAAACGTTGAATTTAATGGAAAATGTGGCCCTGCAAAGCTGGAGCATGCAGTTATTAAAATGCCAAGGCTGTTAGTGACAAAGCCAGACAGAGAAAGCGAATTTCTGGAAATCTGCGTGACAGTAGTTCAGAGCAGTTGTCTTTTGGTTGTAATAATTAATGGTTGTTTTTTAAGTTTTCATATTGATAATAATTTATTTTTTTGCATAACATTTATAGCCTTTTAGCCTACCCTTGGTGCCTCTATAAATACATGAATCAACTGAGCACATAAGGCTTATTTTATAACAACAATAATACCTTTTTTATATACTTCATCATTTATCTATTTTCCAAGTATGAAGTTGTGCTGCACTCAATATTCCCTTATCTTGTATTGTGTGCTTCTCATTCCTACTGTTCTGGAACCTTTGATACAAATCTAAATGTTTTCATATGTGGGACACTGTTTGCAACAGCTATTCCTATCAAAGTTAATAGTTGATAATTCCATAATCTGTTCAATGCAGATCTGTCAGACTTGAATAATTTATGTAATGTCCCTTGGCCCTCTGGTCCTCACCCTTGGAATGAGCTTCCCCAGTTTCTTCGCATCTTAGAGACTGTTGTTGATTTCAAGTCCCAACTTAAGACTTATTTGTTTAGACAGGCTTTCTCACCTCACTGTACATAGGCCGTAGCGGAGCAGGAGCCAGAGCAGGAGCCTAGAGCGGGAGCCAGAGCAGGAGCCTAGAGCCAGAGCCAGAGCAGGAGCCAGAGGGGGTGCTAGGGAGGTGGTGGGTGTTTAAGAGCCTCAGGAAGCGTTGCTTGTCAGGAAGTGGCTGCCTTTTAAACTGCCCGCTTTGCTGTGAGAGGGTTGGCAGCAGGCTGGCCGGGCTATGTGATTGGCTGAGGCTCGAGGCTGGCAGCGCTGTGAGATTGGCAGGCACTCGGTCTTTCAATCTGAACATCCGCATAAGCTTTATATGTACTCATTTCCTGTGAACATTGGTTAATTTATTAGTCTTTCTTGACCAATGACAGTTTTCAACTATTGATCTCGTCATTTGTAATCAGCAAATCGACAATCTCGTTAATCCCTTCAAGACGAATGCTGTTGTAAATTTGGCTTGTACAATAACACATGAATAGGACCAAATGAATGACAAAATCTTTTCTGTCTTGTTGTTGTTGCAGGATGACGCTGTAGACCTAATGCTCTGACAGCTCCATCATGAAGGGCTTAGGAGCAAACCGCAGCCGCCACCTCTCTGACTCCTGCGAACCACCCGGGTGCAACCAGAAAGCGCTGTGCCCTCTGAGCTCGGACCCCCATGGCACCTTCCTCCTCAGCCCCAGCCTCAACCACTATGGCACCCTGGACCCCCACCTACACCAATACCCTCCCACCAGTCCCACGAACCTGACCCCAGATTGCCTGCTACCATTTGGGCCTATATCTAACAGTAGTACCTTTCCCCGTTTGCATTTTACTACGCAGGGTGATCAGTCAGAATATGCGCAAGGATGTACGGGTGCAGGAGTGACTGTGGGGCAAGGTGGGAGGGCGTTGACCCAATCTTTATCCCTAGGAATGGGTCTTGGTTTAGGGCTTTCTGGAGCGCCTATGATCACCAGTGGATCTGCGACCATCTCCTCCGCAGCTGCTGCTAAAATGAACAGGTTACCGGCGAATCTTTTGGATCAGCTGGAAAGGCACTTACCACTGCACCGGGACGGCTTCAGTACTTTGCAATTCCATCGGAGTCGTGTGTCGAAGCAGAGAAGCGAAAGTCCTGGGAGAATTCGTCACCTGATGCATTCGGTTCAAAAACTTTTCGCCAAGTCGCAATCGCTGGAGAACTCCGCGCATAAGGGCAACTTCAACGGTCGCTCGGTTGGCGGGTCGGTGTCAGGGTCGGGCGATGAAGGCGGGAGACAAAGTCGTAGGAGCAAGAGCAAAGATAGGGCGAAATCTGAGATGCCAAGGCAGAGACTACGGTCGACGGCGTTGGGAGGGCTTTGGGGTTCGGATGATGCGTTGGACCTGGACGCAAGCAAGTCTGGAACGCTCACGATGGGTTACCGCAACCCGTTGACGATGATGACGCTGGGCAGGGCGGTTTCAGACAGCCAGGCGAGGCAAATCCCACAGGGCTACAACACCATATCCGCACACACTCTCAAGACCTCCAAAAGCAGCAGTGACCTCAAGTTTCTAGCTTGTCCCACCACGACGTCACAGTTGGCGCGATGCAAAGACGATGAGGGGCAGTTTAGAGGGAGCAAGGATGACATGTTGGTGAAAAGAGGGTCATGGTCCACGCTAACGTTGACCCAGGCCAGGCAAGTGTTACAGAAGGGCTCAGCCACGGTCAACAGGACTCTGCTCAAGTCTAAGTCCTGCCACCCAGACATGACAAACCAGTTTCTTCAGGTAGGACGGCCCGTGAGTATCCATTTCATCCTCATCTTTGCCTGTTACCACTGCTACAGTTTTGCACCGCTTCAAAGAAGACGTGTTGTTCAAGGTTCAAGGTTCAACTTCATTGTCCCCGAAGTGAAATTTGTATTAGGCTCACAGTGCTGTTGGTCACATACAAACAAGACACTCTCAACATCAAAATAATTGATCGCAATTGATCCACCCATGTCTCCATGTGTGTCGAGTCTTAAAGTGATTGTCTGGTGTTTGTCAGAAAGAGAGACAGAGAGGTACTTGATTTGAAAAACCAGGAAGTGCTATTATTATGAATTGCACATTATAGGACACATCTGCAGAGGATCTGATTATGGATATAGGTTCAGTATATAAATGGGTAACTCAGCGCGGATGTTCAGAATTCTTTGTTCAGTTTTTATGTAGTTCCAGAGCCTAATAGAGGCTTGATTCGGAGGCTCCGCGAAAACAAACAACTGAGCATGTGCGCAGCTGCGAGCATCAGCGCCGATGATTGACAGCCCTTGGCATGACTCGATTGGTTAACCTCGACGGCACCGTGGATTCTGAACTATAGCTAAGAGCAGGGAAGGCGGGACTTGCCCGTAATATTAGAATTAATAAAATGACTTATTTTATATCAACATTTAAGGCCAGGAGTTCAATTTAACACATTTCCTAAAATTTGTAATTCATTTAGAGTTACAGACTATCACTTTAACCTGGAGACTTGAGGAAATGGGTGGAGTCTGGGGTGCTCCTGCTTGGTTGGAATGAAACCCTGCAGTCACACCAGTTTGATATCCCTGGTATGGTCCTATTAGTGCTAGGATACAATTCAACATACCAGTAAAAGATTGCAGTTGAAAAAACACAAATTTCCATTAAATCAACATTTTGTCAAGTATTAAAGGGTGATCCAAGCTTGTTTGAACAATCGTTATTCTCTTGTATTCAAGCCGCCATTTCTCTCAGTTTCACCAGCTGGTTTGGCCGCTGTTAATTGAATTTGTGTGTATAAGTGCTGTTCACTTCCATGGCTGCTCTGTCAGCACTTGGTGGTGGCGTGACATTAACTGTGACGCAAAGAAAGAGGCAGTAAGGAAAACAGCACTGCAATTTTCAATCAGACTTTTTTTTTCATAAATAATACATGTGTTTGGCCCAAAGGAAAGAGTCTAAAAGTTAGATATTCTGAACATATAAGACCAAAACATGCTGTCTTCAAATAAACATGTAATATTTTACATTTTAGAAATATTTGACGTTTTGAGCTGATTGAATGACAGAGGGTGGTCCTTCAGTCTGAAAAATCCAAACATGTGACCCTAGACCAAAAACACATTTGTTAAATCATAGAACCAAACTGTTTTGAGAGGGAGAGAGAAACTAGTGGTATGGATTGAAGTTCATGTAGTCACATTTTTGTGGGTTGAAAGTTAGGTACCCCGGCTTTAATTCACGTTAGATAAACATTTGAATTGTGTCTCCTCTGAAAAGCCTTATGCACAATATGTCTTCTTTGAAGGAATACATTTGCACAGGATTAGGCTGTAGTATAAATTTTTTGTAGACATTCTTCAAAGATGTTTTTGTTTTTTATCAAACCAACAAACAAAAATATCTACATGTTAAGGGTGAGTTTACTCTTATTATATATTGGGACTTCAAAACGAAACCTAAATGAATATTAATTTAACCAAAATATTAAGTGAACTTGTCCTGAAGGATCAATGATTAGTTCAATATATATCTATCTATTAGTACTATATTAGTACTTTTATTTTTACCTACACAATAAAACATTAAAAGTCAACATGCAAAATAAACATAAATCTATTATTATATCAACTTTATAGTGTATAATTTTGTGTCCAATCCTGGCTGTTTTTTTAGTGAAAGTTTGCATTTTCATTCCATTGGCATTATTGCTGTGACGCTTTACATATAATTTCCGCAAAGTGAAAATGCACATTGAATACACCAGCCTGTAGTCCTATAGTAACCACACTGTGACTCACACTCACACATTTTACATAATCCCACTCCGCAGGTCCCGTCTGGAGAATGGACCGGTACCCTGGGTCACGGACGCTGTAAGGGCAATGAGATTCCGTGTCGACGGATGCGCAGTGGCAGCTATGTGAAAGCCATGGGGGACCTGGAGGACAGCGAAGACTCCGAGGGCAGTCCCAAACCCTCTCCCAAGAGCGCGGCTCGGAGACAGAGCTACCTGAAGGCAACGCAGAGGTCCCTGAGCGAGCAGCAGCCTCCTCCGCCTCCGCGCAAGTGAGTAACAGCAGGCAGGGTTATTATAGTATGTACAGGATGTGTGGCTGGGGTTGAGATATGCCATGATGTGATGTGTGATATGGATGCGACATACACTGGGTTGATGAAGGACTTACAGTACCTGTGCATGTGAATATGAACTGTGCCAGTTACATTTGACAATAAAGTATTGTATGTGTATTGTTATTGTGGTAGAGACTAGAGAGTAGAGTTTATGGACTTATTATTTTGACGCCATTACATTTTAGTAGCTATAGTTTATTGTCAAAATAGACTGGTGATTGAGTGCCAGCATGGAAGGTAACAATTTGATGTTTGCAATCTTTTTTCCTCCTTTCTTCTTTTATATTCTGCCGTAATTTGCACAATTTCCCCACTGTGGGACGAATAAAGGACTATCTTATCTTACCTAGCTGTTAAACACCTTGTCAACTGCTTGAGTGGTGTTTACACGGAGACACTGCGACAGTAAAACATTATCGGTTTGGCCTTTTGTTTACATGAAGACGGTGTTCCAGGGAGGTGAAAATGCAAGCGTTGAGAAACAGCCTTCAGAGGGGAACAGAACAGACATGCTGCTCAGCGGAGAACTGTTTCACAGCTGTGTGAAACACGCTGTACGTGTGCAGCATCCCCGCACGTACATTTGGATATACGTGGTAGCCGAGAACAAACGTAAACAACAATGGCGGCGCTACATTGAGGACAATTCTACTCCTTCGTCTGTCCAAGTGAAACCACGCAAAGCTCTAGTTTCAGTTTCCACAGCTAAATGAACAATGATGTTGTGTCGTGTTGTGACGTTCTACTGCCCACTACTGGTTGGGTGCTAGAACAACATTGTTTTCCACTGTCATCTAAATGCTGTGCACTTAAAGGACAACTCACCCTCAAATCCATTTATACAGTTTTTTGCTGATAAACGGTATAAATGAGTGTCCAATAGTGTTGTCTACATATCCTGGTCATAATTTTGTCACTTTGGTGCAAATTAGTTGAAAGTTAAACTTTCTGCCTAAAACTGTCTGTGAGGCGCCATCTGCTGGCGACCTGTATTACTACATTTGAATTTTGAATTTGGCGCCAACACTGGCACGGCAGCAAGACCTGACGTCTGAAGCAAGACCTGACTTCAGCAGCCCCCCGCCCAGAGCTATATAAACGGCCCTGTCTCGTTCACGCCCCCTTTAGTCCTCCAGGCTACGCCCATTGAGAGGAAGATTAGAACAGGAAATGTGAGTGACGTATGCTCCGAGGAGCGGGGGTGAGAACCACTTTAAATAAGGAGCGTATTCGTTTTTGCTTATTGCTTTGCAGTGTGTCCGTAGCGTCTCTGTCTAAATAGTTTTGCCCTATTTGAAAGAATTGCCTATTACCAGAAAACTTGAACAAAGCAACTTCAACTTCAAGAAATCTGAAAATTAAAAGAACAAACGTTACATTACTTTTGTCTAATAAAATGGTTTTTCTTTCTCGATAACTTTTTCTACAGCAGAATAGACACATATCACACTCTTACCCCTTTAACAATGACCCCCTGACCCAGCAGTCATTAACCACTGTCTTTTGGCGAATCTTTGCTTTCAAACAAGGCCATTCAGTTCAAATCAATCTCAACTTCGCCAGCATTTGTAGAAGTAGATGTTGATGTTGTGGCTCAAAGGTGACAGCAGGTGAATGTGTGTTTTTTCCACCCTCACACCCGCACGGACAGACCTCGTGGCTACGCTCTTATGCGGCAGGATTATAACTGGTCCCCTCTGCAAAGTACATGCTCTATGCAGCAACTGAGGTCAGTGCTCACCCAGGGCAGTGTGACGTGCCCCCCGCCCCACCTCACTTTTGGACCTGTCAACACTTGCTCCTTTGTTTGTGCAAATCTTTCCTTTTTTTTCTTTTTTACACGCCCTCAGTGTTGTGCTGCAGCTTTGTATTTACATAACAGTGTTAATTTTGACAAGCAATTCTTATTCACGTGTAGGATACAATAGGTTGCGTTCATGTCATTCCAAATAGCTTACAGTTTAAAGCTGCATTTGAGAGCTGACAAAATATCTGTCTTAGTTTATAGATAATTTCTAATTCATGGGCAAATCCAGAAACAAAAAACTAAGTTTTCTTTGTCAGCACCAGTGTTGGGGAGTAACTGAATATGTAACATATTCAGAATACTGCATTCCTTTACAGTCACTACTCTAGAGTAGTATACAGTTACGTTTTTTACATTATGTTTTCAGGTTAAAGAAATTGCATAATCTTAAAGTGAAGATTCTATTTTTTTCTGGTTGTTAAATAGCAGCTGTTGAATCACTTGATGTTTATTACAAAAATTAACAAATGTTTGATTAATTACAGAACATGTTTTATTTAAACAGAACATGTTTTATTTAAACATGTTCTGTTTCATAAAGGTTTCTAGAAGCGATGACAAAATCTAAAAACATATGCATGATGTTGGCCTGTATGGACTTTCAGACATATACAGTACAGACCACAAGTTTGGACACACCTTCTCATTCAAAGAGTTTTTTTATTTTCATGATTATGAAAATTGTTGATTCACACTGAAGGCATCAAAACTATGAATTAACTCCTGTGGAATTATGTACATACTAAAAAAAAAAAAAAGAATGAAACAATTGAAAATTTGTCATATATTTGTCGTATATTCTCAGTTCTTCAAAGTAGCACCTTTTGCTCTGATTACTGCTTCACACACTCTTGGCATTCTCTTGATGAGCTTCAAGAGGTAGTGACCTGAAATGGTCTTCCAACAGTCTTGAAGGAGTTCCCAGAGATGCTTAACACTTGTTGGCCCTTTCGCCTTCACTCTGTGGTCCAGCTCACCACAAAACCATCTGGACTGGGTTCAGGTCCGGTGACTGTGGAGCTCAGGTCATCTGGCCCAGCACCATCACTCAAGGAGAGTGGTCAAACAGCCCTTACACAGCCTGGGTCAATAGTCATGAAAAGAAAGGAAACTCATTGAATGAGAAAGTGTGTCCAAACTTTTGGTCTGTACTGTTAATCTTTTGGACAATGAGTCATTTTAGTCACTTAGCAACACTTTTTATACCACAAGGTTTCGTACGAGTTTATCTCATTTGAAATGTACAGAGCACCAGACTAACTCCATTTGACTTACGAATATTTCACATTGTTAAAGCAGTGTTCTGGATAAAATATAATTGATCTTGTTTTTGCTATTTTTCAAATGTATTAATGTCTGATAAATTGAGTTTTAGTTCAACAGAAACATCATTGTACAAAACAGTTGAGCAGGTACAGTACCAACTTTTTCTTGAGTTGAGTTTGTTTATGGTCTTCAAGATCGCAATGTTTTTAGACTGAAATCAAGTTTTTAGTTCTTTTTGTAATAACTGAAAAGTAAAGCAGCACTTTTAGACAACCATTGTATTCTAGATATACAGCTATAACGTCAACAAAAATAGTTTCATCAACTTCAAAAAAAAAATAATCGCATTCTTTAGTTTTAGCCAAGCAAATTTGTGACATTAAAATCCAGTCAACAAAATCAACACTGTCACACACCACACCCTGCGCACACATTTTTGCTTACTCCACAGCAGAGCACCGGCATAAAGACAACTTGTCAGCACAATTTGAAGCCATAATCAAACACACGTATTAAATAGCATCCCCCCAGGCTGCTATTTTGAACTAAAATAGCACCTCTGCCTGCACAAAAACCGCCCATGGGATGTCTATTGTGTAACCAAAGTGTCCCCTGATGGTTGTATGTATTCCTGTGGCATTATGACTGAGACTGACGATCATTTTTGCGTATCTCCAGCTCCCTGCCGTGTCTGAAGGAGCTGTCCACAAACCGGAGTCTGGATAACTTGGACTGTCTGGTGATTCCGGTGGAAACGCAGCCCCCACACCGGAGCGAGTTCAGCTACTGCTCCGCCACGCTGGGCAGAGGCTCTCAGGTAAGTTCTGCAAAAACAAAACAAAAACATATTTATGCCTAAAAACATGTGTATTGTGAGATTTAATTTGTAGCTTCATCTAATTACATGCAAGAATGGCTCGGTGCTGAAAAGGCACAGAGGCAGTTTGTGCAGACATATGCTTGCATGATTAATAAACACTGCTGAAGGCACAATGGGCCCAGTCTTTTTCCTGGAACTACGCATGTGATTTGACTCTATACATTGAAAATAACACTCAAGTACGACTCTGGCGCTTACTTTCACTTTGTAGTTGTAGTTTTTCTATTTGTCACGTTTGCAATAGTAAGCTCTACTGGCAGTAAGTAGAGCCAGTAGGGTAATAATGGGATAAATAGAACCATCCCTGGTAAATTCAATAGACACAGTGGCTGAGACCTGGGTTCAATTCCACCTCCAGACAGGGCCTTACTGAGTGGAGTTTGCATGTTCTCCCCTTGACATCCTAGGTTCTCCCATGTACAATAGCTCCCCTTACATTTGGGCCTTTATAATAGATTGTGAAATATCTGTGAGATAAAGGTCATTAGATAAGTACATGCATATTTTAAAATTGAAAGGAAAGTTGTAGAAAGGTTTTTATTGCTTGTATGTACAGTTTTAGATTTGGCTTTCCACATAAACGTTACAATTAATTCATGCTGAGAAAAAAGGGAATCTTTATTTAAATTCTTGAAGTTCTCAACAGAAGTGCTGAGAAGGTGCTCTTTTGCATAGAAGAACGCTTTTTCTCCAGACCTTGGGCAATCTAGAAAAAACTGGAAGATCCTAGAGCAACATACACACCATCAAAACAACAGGATGAGAGAACCTTTCAATCCACTAACATTTTTAAAACCTGTACAACACAATTTTACCGAACAAATCAATCAGACACATTTTTGAAAGGTGGAAGATGAAGCAAAAGCGTATACATTTTCAAACCTCCCTCACCCATTTAGGGTTTGGAGCGAAGACAAGACAATTCAGAACAAAAGCAAGACAAAAACACACACACAGACGCACACACACACACACACACACACACACACACCCTCTCACCCATTACTCACTGTACTGTGCTGAAAGCGTTACTCTCTTTCATCTTTGTTTATTAATTATGACACTAAAGTAAGGACTTAGTGGCTGTATGCATATAACCCCTCCCTCATTTGAAACATAGCAGCTACTTACAGTGTATATTTTGTGCTCTTACTGCTACCTTTTCCCACTGCGGGACGAATAAAGGATCTCTTATCTTGTTTGGAATACTGCAGCGGTCACTATTGAATCTCTGTCTGTATAATGCAGGTGTATGCCCAGAGCTGTGGTTACTCAAGCGCGTTTGGTGAAGTGGAGTCCCAGGCCGTGGAGGCTCTGGACCTGCCCGCTCCCACGTGTTTCCGCTCCCGCAGCCACAGTTACCTGAGAGCCATCCAGGCGGGCTGCTCACAGGACGACGACACTTCTGTGGACTCAGACTCCCCTCCGCCCACCGCAGCAGGCTATTACAGCTCCAGCACGCGTGAGTATAGGCTTGTTACCAACAACTATGGTCCCTATTATCCCACAGAACGACTATTTTCTCAGTGAAACCACACCATAATCCTGTTGTTTGCGTTTACACTGCAAAAATGGGTGAAAATGGTTCCAAAATCAGGCCATTCTGATTTGAGTTAGTATGTTTTCCCTGTGCCTGTGTAGGAGTCCTCTGGGTGCTCCGGTTTCCCCTACCACCAAAAACATGGGTTAGGGTTAGGGTTAGGGTCTGAATGTAATGAGAAAGTGAATGGATTGTGAATCATGTTCGGCATCTCACATTTGTCATCACCAAAAATTTGCTTTGTGTGACCTTGGTCTGTAAAATTGGCTAAATATTGACTCGAATTGTTGTTTCTTGCACATCAGAATGCCTGAGCAAAAGCACCAAGACATCAATACAAAATCACTTTAAACACACCGAAAAACATGTGAAAAAGTGCATAAGAAACAGCTGTCACTGAGAGGCAACTCAGAAAAGTGCTTTTACAATAAAGTGCTAGATCGTTTGTTCTATCTGATAACAGCTTGTGGAAAGAAGCTGCAAGAATGGCTACATGTCCTGCATCTTAAAGTACTACCTACATTATTTATTTATTTATTTGTTTCTGTTTTATCTAACTGTTGATCTATCATACATTTTTATTTGTGGGTGTACATTATTAGACAGTAGCTCAGTTGGTAGAGCATTGGCCTTCAGGCCTGAAGGTTGTGGGTTCAATTCCCACCTCTACACCTTCTCCACCGACTCCCACTGATGACTGCTGTCGTTGTGTCCTTGGGCAAGACACTTAACCCCACTTTGCCCAAAGCCCCCACTGAAAGATCAAGGCTATGCTCACAGTCAGAGAGCAGCCGTCCTCCTGTGGACTCACCACCTGCAGAGGATCAGTGAGGGGCTGGTGCTATGAGACTTGGGTGGCATCTCTGATTGCCACCTCCTGACCCAGAAATGGATTAAAGGGTAGAAAATGGATGGATGGATGGATGGTGTACATTATGGTTCAAAAGTTTAAAATGACATGTATCTAAGTCACTGTTGTACAAACAGGTGCCAAAAGGTTCCTGGTCTGACTGAAAAGTACCTGCCCCAAAATGTGGCACTTTACTACTTTACTACAATAAAGTACCAAGAACTGGACACGGTTCCTACACTGCAAAAAACAACTGCTACACCTGCAAATGGTTTGATATAGTAGTATTTAAACCTTCAATATCACTGTGGCACAACCGGTATTTTGTTGGTTTAAGTTCAGTCTGTATTAGTTCTGGTGATAGTGAACACCTTACGTGAGCAAAATAATTGGATCAAAATGGTAGTTAATATAATTCGGGTGTTATTTGTGGGGGGGATCAATGTTTTATCTATTGCACAATTTATGAATATATATGTAGACGCTGTATTATAAAGTTGAGGTTTTAATTTGACCTGATAAGAAAAAAATATAGGAAGACAAATATTATTCTACAGATTTGAATGCTTTATTAAGTCAATCAAATGTGTCAGGACAAATCAGCACTACTTCACTTTGCTTCTTCCAAAAGTTGCTAAATCAGCGTTTAACATCATTTTAGAAAGTGTTTTTCTTTTCTTTTCTTTTTTCTTCTCTTCTCTCCTCTTTCTTTTCTTTCATTGCCTCCACAAGGGGGTAGTGTTTATACCAGAGTTTGTTTGTCTGTCTATCAGCAGCATAAATCAATGGATTAATAGGCTTATTTAAACAACATTTTCAGGGATCCTCAGGAAATGGGACATGGAAGTTGGAACACATAATCAGATATGGTTGTCTCTGTCTCTTGCCTGAGATCTATGCTCTATGAGTGCTTTTCTAAAATAGTTCTTTATAAAACATCTCCATTCTAAACAAACCATAAAAACAGTTTGGTTTTATCAGCAGTTTTCACATACATGCTTTTTATGGCCTCTGTCACATCTTTAGATTAGCTTTTAAAGCCTTTTAGTGACTCCCAGGGCTCTTTCTTACAAGTAAGCAAAAGACAAAAAAATTCTGATCAGGCAAAGACAATATGTTTTGGTCTGGTTGTTCTTATCCAAGACTATTTCTGTGGGAACAAACACAATGTTGTATTTGTTAAACAAATAATATAGATACTCCAGCTTTAAAACTCAATTAGCGTTATATCATAATTTTCATTCTAATTGTTGTATTTCTAAAAATAGTTTGTGTATGCACATAGCAAATATCTGTTAAACAAACTCATCGCAGTGAAACAGTGTTTTCTTTTTTGAGCTGCTTATGATGGCTAAGCTTGTTTTGGCCTTTTTCACGAGATCTATCGCGTGTTGCTTTCTAAAAATCTGGCAACCCCTCTCCTGGTTGTCAAGCATAGGTTGTTAAGGGCGTGTCCATGGATCTACGGCAAATCTTTTCTTCACAGCGTCTGAATGCGTCTCTCGACAGCCACAGACCCGTACCCCTGCTGTCTGCAGTCCCTCGTGCTAATCGAAGGACATAATTTGCGGATTTCTCACTCGTCAATACAGTAAGCGTCTTGCCTCTACATGATTTTCTCTTTGTTTGCGTCGTAGATGTCTTTTGTTAGCTGCGGCGAGGATAATAACAGCAGCAGCATGAAGCTAAGCTAGGTGGCTAATGATAGCAAACGTGGGGAGATAAACCTCAGTAGAAGCATCCCAGACATTAAATGAGGCAAATAGCAGAGGTTGGTAATGCTGGTAGGACAACAAAGCCGAAGAATTGACCGCGTCTTCCTGTTCATGTCCCCGTTTTCCTCAACCAAACGCCCCCCAAACCACCGATGAATGAATTTTGTGTTAAATTTCCTCATCATGTTACTATTAGCAACCCAAGCTAATGGCAGTAGCCTAGGCGTCAACAAGAGGCTAAAAGCTGCTTCTTGTACGTCTGTATTCGGTAAAAATATTGTGCCTTTTCCTAGTAACTTTGCACATGAATTCAGATAGGTGTGTACACAAAGCACACTAATCGAGCCGAGAGGAGCATATGACACCTCAGTGACGTGGAAAGGAACTGGAGAAATGTGACAGATGTGGAGCTAATTATTGAAACGTCCATAAAGTAGATTAGAGCAAAGTGTGCTGGGGAGTTTGTGTAAAAATACTTCCCATATTCGTAAACCACCCTTTCCACGAATCTTTCTCTCAGCATGTGATTCAGCTCATAGGGAAGAGGTATGAAGTGAGCAAGTTGTGAGTCATGGTATGGTAACTTTAACTCCAGACGCTGAATAGAGTCACTTGTGCTGGAATATATTTTTATATTGGATTGAAACCTTAAGATCCTGTTACCATTATCATCAATAATGATACGGGTTATTATGTGTTGGTTCATAATGTGAATCCACTCAGCTCATGTAACTAATATTATTGTTCAAAAATAACCTGTTCCCAACTGCCATGTCTTTTTGGCGTCTATTTTAAGTCTACCTTATTTTCAATCACTCCTACACCGAGCAGCCATGTGCTGAAGGCTGGGGATGTGATCAAAATGTAATAAGCTTCCTGTAAAGTGTGCTGTGCCGGAGGCTAGGAGGCTACTGCCTGGTGGTTAGGACACAAGCTTTTAGTTGAAAGCCTGTCCATCTTTCCTGCTAGCATCAAAGGAAATGTCCATGTACAAAGCACATAGCTGTATGGTTTGTTTGTGCTATTATGTCTGGTAGGTCTTTACACAGCATTAAGCTTATTGTTGGACTGAGGTGTGGCTATAGTATCTGGATGGACAGACTCTGAGTCATCCTCATTACTCTCTTCCTCCTCACTCTCATTGATGATCTCATGCGGTAACTCCACTAACATGGCTACTACTAGTGCTTTTCGACCAGCAATAATCATGCCTAGGACAGACGTCGCAGCCTCTGATACTACTGATTCCTGAACTTGGCATTAGTTTACAGTTTGCCTCTGGATTAGGGCTGAGGGATTTTGGATAAATATCTGCTTTGCATGCTTTATAATATTCTCAATCTTCTCAAAACTAGAGTGTACATTTTGAATTTGATTAACATTTTCAATATTCGTTTTGTATTGTTTTTTAAATTTTATATTTTAAAAATGAATTACCACAATTGAGTTGAAGTCACAGCTTCCACAGCTTTTTTGCATTTAGTTTGCATAGTTTTTGTATCCCCATTCTCACTTAAAACATAGGAAATAATAAAACGCAATGCTTTGTTTCTGTTAACACATTTTGGATTGACTTGAAAGGAGAAGTGAATCCATTTAGGCCTTAAAAGCTTGTTAAATACATGTACCAATTTCTGCTTTTGTCATGTCTTAACATCAAATTTCATAGAGAGATTTTGATATTTTCTCTGGAGCTTATTTTTCTCCCTTCCCTATCTGGTGAGCCAGACTTGTGTCCATATTTATTTTTTTAATAGAAACAAATCAATATAACATATCCCCATTACTTTCTGTGTGTAATTTTAAACAAAGCACTCAGACCTTCCAGTAAGTAAGTCACATTTAGATGATATAAATAGTTTGTAACCGATCAAAGATTTCTTTTTTCTCCTCAGACAATCTGAGTATTTTTAGCTGTTCCTTTCTTGTGTTTGAAACTGAATCATATTTATCACTCTTGTCGTGCTTTGACATGTTGTTTACAATTTAATGAAGTCTTATCTCAGTGGCTGATCTTGTACAGTGCTCATCTACCTCTTTTATTGTTGGCACGTGTTCAGGTGTGAGCTCAAAGAATGATTCATATGAAAATAATAATGCCTGTACTCTTACAGTACATAATCCAAGCCTGGGGTGTGTTGGCTGCTGCTTCACTTGAGGCTCTTGTTACGGGTAATTTAGTCATTTCATACAAAAGACTTCAGTCATCCCTCTAATTATGTATAAAGTTGACTGCAATCACTTAATGTTGTGAGCTGTCATCACCCTACCACCTTAACAATAACATGAACCTTTAACACGGATGTGAGCTATTATACATGCAAGTACAGTTTCAAATGAATACTTCAGAAAGCAAAGTTATGATTTGTAAAGGCTACATTTCAAAAGGTCAGTCTTGAGTTTCAGCCAGCTCTGTAAGCATTAGACACTCTACAAGACATAAAGTGCAAGGCCATAAACTTAAATGTCTGCCTGGTAATGGATCCTTATTGTTTCCTGTACAATGGAGCATAGAGGCCATCTTGCTACATAGCCTTTTTAAGTCATAATCCTCTTATGACCCTCCATTGTTTAGACATTATTGTCTCACAAATGCCAAGAATTTGTTAGGCTGAGTGTGACCGAGAATAGATGTTAGATGTTTATATTTTTTGCTTCATCCCATCCCAATCATGTAAATACAAATGTGTGTTGTGTTTGGTGGATTCGTTTTTTACTTAAATCTTGAAATGAAATTTTAATTGAGATGGGTCCCTGCTCCTGACAGCCGCAGCAGCATTGAGAGAGTGGTCAAATACAGAGGAAAAATGTCTCTATGGGGACAACTAGGTGTACTTTAACCCTTAACTAGAAACGACAACAAAAAACTAAAACACACACCTGTGGTATGGATTTCTGACGTCATAAGTCTTTTAAAGGTACTAAGCTCATTCCTTATTAAGTCACATGCTGCCGAGGTGTCAGCTAAATGCATTCGACAAAATAAAAGCATTAACTTTTCTGAACCAAAGTGTTAGCTTTTTCCCCTTCAGTAGCAGTATCGCCCCAAATGAAACTCAGAACCCTATAATTGTGTGGGAGCTGCTCTCCTGTCATCAGCCAATGAGTCATGGCACCAGCAAAGCTCTCATTAAAAGCCACTGGCAGCGCACACAAACACAAGCCCCCGTGTATATACTCTGCTGCCAGTGGCCTGACAGCTCTGCGTCAGGAGAAGAGCCACAACACGGCCACCTCACCGGCAAAAAGTGGAACAGGCACATTCAGTTTGTCTAAAAACACTGTCTTGTCGAGTCTAAGAACATGTTAAAACATCTTTAAAACGTGGTGAAAAAACAAGGCTATCCATCAATGGCATTTCACCACTGGGATGAATAAAGGATCCCTCATCATAAAATTCAATCAAGATATTTTGAATGGTTAATGATGGGCTGGGTTAAAAGTTCCTACAGTAAGAAGACTTGTTTCACCACATCATAACTTATAAGTGAATTCACATGCTTTGTTCCAATGTAAATGAAAGATTTTATGCCACAGTTTAATGACCGGCCTTGTACACAGGATTCTGCCATTTTCAGTTACATCAACAGAATGGTTTTTCCACAGTATTTCTTTTGTAAAGCTGTGTGTGACAGATAAAACATAGAGACAAAGAAGAGCAACACGTGCTGTTTTCTTTCTTTTTGAAGTCACACTGTCATTTTTGTGTCTGCAGTCAACAACAGGAAGGCCCCCCCTCCAGTTCCGCCTCGCACCACCTCCAAACCGCTCATCTCCGTCACACTCCAGAGCAGCACCGAATCCGCCCAGGACACGTACTACGACCAGCAGGACCGAGGCAGTGACGTCAACAGCCAGTCGGGCCGCAGCAACTCCTCGGACAGCCTCTGTAGCATCCGCACGGGCAGCCTGGCCAAGAGCATTTACCCGACTGGTATCATCACGCCAGCCATCCCAGTGCCCATCCCGACGGCCACCACTGTTATACCTCCTGTCCCTGCCCCGAGGGACCTGCCCCCAAACACCGCTGTCCCTAGTATCGCCATTACCATTGCGATTGCTGCTGCTTCTACGGCTAGTACAGCTACGGCTAGTACTGCTACAGCCTCTACTGCTACGGCTAGTACTGCTACAGCTAGCACTGCAACAGCTAGCACTGCTACGGCTACCACAGCTACCGCAACCACTTCCACCTCAACGCAGTGCCAACATGACACCCTGACTCCCATCATCATCCTCGACAAGCCTCCAACTGCTTCCAAAAGAAAGCTGTCGTCCATTGGGATTCAGGTAAATAGTTGGATGATTGTCATCGTTGCCATGAAGTCGATTGGTTGCGTTCACATTCTAGAATTCTGTTTCCACTAGGAAGGTAGGTTTTTGAAAGACACTTTTAAAAAAAAAGGTTTTATGTATCGTTTATTGCCTGATTAAACAAACCAGCCAAATTATGTCCGAAAGTGGTTTCTAATCACCATTATCATACTAATGTTCATGGAATAATGTCACTGCTTCTAGGCACATTTATGAGAAAGTAATCAGGCCATAGTTGACATGTACTGACAAAGAAGAACTTTGTAATTTCACAATCCACATGAAGGATTAGCTATAAGACGCCTAGTGGTCTTCTGACTTTTGACTGTTCCCATTGTTACAAAGATTTTTCAGCTGCCCTCCATCACATTAAACTAGAGGCTCTTTAGAATGTTTTCATGTCACATTGATGCAATCTATGGATAAAAACAATGATAAAGAGCAGAAAGGGCATCTGTTCATATCTGTTTTATCACATTTCACACACTCCAATTATTCACTGCGGTGAGTCCATGCCTTACGGAGCTTGTAGCAATTTTAGCTATCACAGTAAGCTAACAAGAGCCAGTCACATATTACCTGCTGCCAACGGCAACCATTTTGACACAGAACTTGGGCAAATAAATATTGCGCAGTGTTTTGGAGACAAAACTGATGAAAGGTTTATTCATAAAGCACATTCCCCACTCTGCTCCAAAGTGCTTGTTCATATGGTGACATTATTTTATTCAATGACCAATGATTATTCATCTGGTGCTTTAGACAGTGTTGTTTTTTTGTTTTGTTTTTTAACTAACTTTGTTTTCTGATTGTTGCCTAGGTGGATTGCGTTTTACCAGTCCCAAGAGAAGAAATATTACCATTAACGGCACCTTTAAAATTTCAGTCCATTGGGGTTCAAGTGGAGAACGGAAGGCCGTAAGTACAATTGACTTTAAAACATATTTTGAAATTCAGTCAGTCTGTCCAGGTTCATTCTCAAAATCCACAAATCTGTGTTATTGTTCTGAGAAATGTGTTGAGGTGGTCACGAACACAAAAGTATCATCGCCACTTTGGGATACAGCTCTCCCTACTTTTCTATAATTGGTCAAAGTTAGGTGTGTTTTGTGCTCTCCAGTGCAAACATAGATGGGAAATGTGAATCTATAACAAGCATTTTGAAAATCACAGAAATACTGTCAAGACTGCACAGCATCATGTGGCCAGCCTCAGGTCGATCTGACAGTCTGTGAGCCACAGACGCTCCCTGCATTATACATGGTTGCTTCAATGTTTTTACTTGCCTGTAACTTTGTGCTTGCATTTTTTAGCCAAGTCATAGATTCTCTTCGGTTTGAGAGCTCTTTCAGCCTCACATCTTCTTTTTTATTGTAGGCTATTAGCCCCACAAGTGATGCCGTAACAAAGAAAACCTATAATCTCCAAACCAACTTTTATTAAATTGTTATGGCTGTATGGTATTTTGAAAAAAGTCATTTGAGCTCGCCCCCTGTCAGGAGCAGGAGCACAGCACTGGTCTTTTATGGCTTCCTTTTGAATATTGTTTGGACTGCCGTCCTCTGAACATTGTGATTAATGTCCTTTTTTCACCTTCTCCGTGTTTTGTACTGCCCCATAATAGAATTTGTTTGACGGGCTCTTTCTTTTTCCTCTGTTCATTATCTGAGAGACGTGCGTTCATTTCATGCCCCACCTATTATCAGACTAATTTTCTCAGTAATGCCCACACGGCCTCCTGTAAAACTCTTTTTGTTTAAACTGGCATTCACAGCAAGAGTACTGACCTTTTTTAAGTTTGGGGGAATAATGATGAAAATGATTGATGCTTTTTGAAATTCTTCTAATAATAAATTCTCCTCCAAATAATAGAAATATGCAATTTTCCTAATTCCATTATGTGAATGTGGTGGTTACACAATGTGGACTGTAAACATGTTTCAAGACGTTTATTGAATAATGCATCACAGAACAGTTTCCTGTGTTTGAGCTGAATGCTATTGTGCTTTAGGGCTATACAAACATCAATTGAATCAATATTTCTGTTCCATCCTTTCTTAATTAATATGATGTGATAACTGAAGGCTTCTATTCATAATACTTCTGTTTTTTCTCATACATTTTTCTGTTTTGTGCCTGTACAGTCTGAGCAGAGATAACAGCATGGCCTCCAGACAAAACACAGAGACTGAGCCGCTGGAGCCGCAGGAGAACAATTGTGTCAACACCGAGACGTCAAACTGTGCGACCACAAACGGACAGGACAAACCCTCTGAACAGCCCCTCCAAAAGTCCAACTCCACCAGGATATCCTCCCTCTCAGAGTCCTTGGACCCGGCGCTCGACCCCTCCTTTTTGCCCCCTCCAGACCCCAGCCTTCAAGCGGGCAATGGCAGCACGGCAGCAAACAACGAAGACCAGCCCTGCGCGCCCGCCTGCCCTCGCGACGGCAACTGGTTTCTCAAGCTCCTCCAGGCCGAGACCGGGCGGATGGAGGGCTGGTGCCAACAGATGGAGCAGGAGACCAAAGACATCCAGCTGTCGGAGGAAGGTACGCTCTGGAGACGTGTGGCTCCAACTGAGCAGCAGCAGACTAGTCTAGACTCTACCCATTTGTCCAGGTTAAGACCGGACTCACTTGAGGAAATGGGTGGTCTGGTGTGTTCCTGCTTTGTTTGAATGAACCTGCTGCCACAGCTGCCCTTTATATAAAGAGGGGGTTTACTTGCCTTACCCATACTCGAGTATCTCAAGTTTTGGCCCAAATGAAGCCCTAAGCATTATTCATTGTAGTGTATGGAGTGAGCCACAGCTGCCCTGGGGCTGGCTCCCTGAAGAGAGGCAATCAATTTGTGTGAATAGTCTGTGGTGAAAGGGCAAAAAGCACTAACACATACCAGGCTCATTCTAGGCAACGTGAATGAAATGTCTTTCCTATGAGCACGGCAACACTTTTTGCACTTTACAACCTTAGCGACTCCATTGTGGCACCTGGTCACGTGTACCAGCCCCTGCTAAGCTGAGATCTGACTGGATCAGGCTTTCACAAGCTCCACACTTTGTATATAAAGTATGAAAGATTGCCTTATCATATATCAAAACGGCCATACCTCATTGAATTTCAATATCAAAATCACAAGGAAAAAATATATTAAGCAACAAAACCACAATATTTACTCTAGGCACTCCTGCCTGCATCGGGAGTAAAGACGACAGGTCTATGTTGTCAAAGTCACTTGAAAGCACGTCTTCTCTTTTTTGACAGATCTTTCTCTGCAGTGTCTGAAATATAAATGAACATGGGTCAGTGTATGTTCCCACCCTGTCTGGAGTGACTGCACACAACTAAATCCTGTGACTTCTTGTATGAATAACACTTGAGTACATTTCTGTTAATAATTATCTATATATATTGTATTTGCAGTAATGGGGACAATCCGAAGTGCGGTCGGCAGTGCTCAGCTCCTGATAGCGCAGAAGTTTGAACAGTTCAGGGGCCTCTGCAATGAAAATCTGGTAAGCACTCCCTGGGGAACTTTTTTAGTCATATAGTTGCATCAGTCACACACTTGATCTGGTTTTAAAGATTAATTACTTTACTCGTCACAAGTCGGGCTACAGTTTTTGATGAAAATAGACAAAGATTTAATCATACATTTAAGATCATATCATTTTGACTTTATTGGGATGTGTATTTGAAGGTGCTTGCTTGTACATGCAATCAGATGCATGCAGATAGTCTAGTAGGGCTGCACAATATATCGGAAAAATATTGTTATTGCGATATTGGTGCGTGCAATATCCATATCGAAATGATCAGCAATAAAGGAAAAAAAAAGTGTTTATTCTTTATTAAAGACAACAAAACAGACGGACACATCAACCTTCAACAACCTTCAACAAGAAAAAAACAAACGAAAAAGTATATAAATACATGCATTTGAAGGTCATTCATTCTTGCGTTTTAATGCAGATTGCAATTTTACTGTAGGTGAAAGACAAAAATATCGCAATAACATTTATCAAAATACTAAACACTCATATCGAATATCGCACTAATTTCCAAT